CTTGATCACTAATATGCACGTAAGCTACACAACCGAAAACTTTTAGATGTGAGAGTTTTACCTCCTTTCCGCACCATACCTCCTCTGGTATTCTGTGCTCCAATGGAACCGATGGACCTCGGTTGATCAAGTAAGCTGCTGTGTTGACCGCTTCTGCCCAGAACTGCTTCGGTAGGCCTGATTGTACTCGAATGCTTCTGGCTCTCTCTGTCAACGTTCGGTTCATCCGCTCAGCTACACCATTTTGCTGAGGCGTGCCGGGCACGGTTCTCTCCATTCTGATCCCGTGCTCATAGCAGAACTTCTTGAATCCGGTGTCTTCATACTCACCGCCATTGTCGGTCCTGAGCTTCTTTATTCTCAGACCGGTCTCATTCTCGACCATGGCTTTCCATCTTCTGAAAGCCTCAAACACTTCTGACTTATGTTTCAGAAAGTAGACCCATACTTTCCGAGTGTGATCATCGATAAAAGTCACGAAGTAGTGTTTTCCACCAATGGACGCGGTGGTTGTTGGTCCCCACACATCTGAGTGAACGAGCTCTAGCTTCTGCTTCCTGGGGGTTCTGCCACTTGTCTGAAAGCTGACTCTCTTCTGCTTTCCAAGTATACATTCTTCACACATATCCATCTCCACTGACTGCAGTCCTGGGAGTTTCCCCTTTGTGTGCATGATTTTCATCCCCTTTTCACTCATATGACCGAGTCTCTGGTGCCACAGCTTTGAGGTCTCATTGCTAGTTGCAACTGAGATCGAACAACGTGCACCTGCTGTCATATACAGGGTACCAGTCTTCTTGCCTCGGGCAATCGTCATTGCGCCCTTTGAGATCTTCCAATCACCTCCATGGAAGGTTGTGGTGTATCCTTCGCCAGCCAACTGGCCTACGGATATTAAATTCTTTCTCAGGTCGGGAATATGCCTGACATCCTTCAGCTCCCATACTGACCCGTTCAACTTAATTTTCACCACGCCTTTGCCCACTATAGCACACGGTTGATCATCACCAAGATATACGTATCCAAGTTTTCCGGGGGTATACTTCTCGAAGAATTCTTTCTGAGAAGTAGCGTGGAACGACGCTCCTGAATCTAACACCCAAGATTCCTCCTTGCTCTCCAAAGAGCATATCAATGCGTCGTCTCCTCCTGAAGTGGATGTGACATTCACCTCTGCCTTTGCCTCCTTCTCTTTCTGTGCACTCTTGCACTGATTCTTGTAATGCCCGGTCTTTCCACAATTCCAACACTCGATAGCCTTCGAGCTGTTGCTTGGATTCCTTGATTTGGACCTCCTGTCCTTTGATCTACCTCTGAAGTTTGATTTTCCTCGTCCGTTTCCTCTGGTTGAATTTCTACCTCTTGACTCTGTATGCAATACTGAAGAGGTTGTAGCTTCACCCGTTTCTCTCCGTCGGATCTCCTCACTGAGAACCAAATCACGAACGTCGTCGAACTTCAACTTATTGTTTCCCGACGAGCTACTCACAGCTGTGACTGTAGCGTTCCAACTCTCTGGTAGGGAAGACAACAATATCAACGCCCGAACTTCTTCATCAAATTCAATCTCAACTGAACTCAATTGGGTTGTAACCGTATTAAGTTCATTGAGGTGTTGTGCTACTGACGCGCCTTCCGCCATTTTCAGATTGAATAACCGCCGCATCAAATGAACTTTGTTCGCGGCTGATGGCTTCTCATACATGTTTGAGAGTGCTGCCATAAGACCTGCCGTGGTCTTCTCCTTCGCTATGTTGAACGCAACATTGCGAGTCAACGTCAATCTGATAACTCCGAGGGCTTGTCTATCTAGAAGGTTCCACTCATCTGCCTTCATGGAATCTGGCTTCTTCCCCGATAGTGGTTGATACAGATTTTTCTGATACAGATAATCCTCTATCTGCATTTTCCAGAATCCGAAATCTGTTCCATCAAATTTCTCAAGTCTCATTTTTGCCTCATCTGTGGCCATGGCTCCCACTTGAATCTGACTTGTTCTAGATCGTTTCACGCTCTGATACCAGTTGTTAGGAATTTAACGCCTAATCCCCTAATTAACAGAAACGCGGTATAGAGAACAGTACACCAAGATTTAACGAGGTTCGGCAACTGCCTACGTCCTCGGGAGCCACACAGATAATTTCTTATTAATTAAACAAGAAATTACAATTTAGGAGCGTATCTCAAAACTGAGATTTCTCTGATAAACACTGTAGCTACAGTGTTAATAATCAAACAAAAAAAAAACCCTAGGCTGGGGTTTTCTTTTATAGGCGGATGAGGAGAGGGCTGGCGACAGCCTGTCGCCAGCGCCAACTTCGAGCCGAACGCACAATTGCTTCGACGCCAGCTTCGCACGAACGCAGAGGTCGCTTCGACGCCAACTTCGCACGAACGCAGAGGTCGCTCGACGCCAGCTTCGCACGAACGCAGAGGTCGAAAGGGGGAGGCGAACGCAGAGCTCGAGCCGCCAAAACGCCAAGATCAGGTCAGCGTTCGCCTGGGGTTTCTCCGTCGACTTCGCCTGAAGTTCGTCGCCCACGCACGCCTGCAACATCCATGAGCTCGCCGGAGCTCTTCGTCGCCGGAGGTGAGTTTGATCTACACCTTCTTCAACAATCCTCACTCCGAACTTTGCTCATCTTATCGATAAGAACACTGAAATTTTCAGTCCTCTCAGCCCTCCATGCTCCTCTCTCCGGCCTTTTTGGCTCCTTTATAAAAATCTAGCCTCTCATGCCTCTCTTGCAATTTCCTTTAACAATTCACCCGCAAGATTCCTTATTCGATTCCTATAGATATCGGTTTTCTCAATGTTAGATCTAAGCTTTACTTTAACGAACGAGAGAGTAAACAGACATCACGCTTATATCTACCGAATGCAATGTTCTTGATTTCAAGCTTGTCTTCAACATGCATACTCCTTCAACTCTGAAAACCACCGCTTGTTTATGTTGATAGTATTCTGAAAACATGCGGACAAAAGTTCGGCATTTGGAAAAAGTCTCACAGTAAGAAAAGATTTGAAGCTACATATGAACTATACAATGTGATTGATTACCCTTTTGAGTTGTTGGGGGAGACATCGGGCCCAATCTAGAGTTGATGGAGCTTAAACAGAAGTTAGGAATCAATTTTAACACAAAAAGTATAGCTTTCAGGTATTGACCCAAACTCCTATCTAAACTCATCACTCTTTCTTATTTTATCCGACGTGGGACTATACTCATATATTAATCAACTCAACATGAGTGAGAGGTCAGTTAATTTGCTGGCAACGTACTTGCAAAAGTAGCACATAGTTTTCTGAGCGAATACAGTCTCTAAGAAGCCTTGTGACAGTAAATAAAGGGTGAATTTTTTTTTCTCGGGCATTTTACCTCAAAATTTCTTACTAAAACAGAACTTACCCAGATGAAGGTATATCAGATGTCGCGCAGGTAACATGCTGCTTAGCTTCAGAACTGAAATATTAGACGAGAAGACAAGGTAAGCTGAGCAAGTCGTATATTCCGAATCATAAACTTTCAAATAACTTAAACCCTGATCAATTAGTAAAAAATTTCGTTATTAATCCAATAATGGAAAATGTGAATGAAAAGTTACCTTCAAAATTCGAGAGAAAACTATCCTTCTATTTTCCGAATCAACACTGAAGAGTTGCGAAAGGAGGAGGGTTGTGGCTCTTTTTATTTTTCCATGAGACTTAATATGGAAAGTCTCAATGAAAATATAAAATAAAGAAGAAAATAAAAAGAGAGTATACTATTTAATATGTAATTACATGCTAACTAATATAGAATATATAATATCAAAAGAATATATAGTATGACATTTAACAAGCCAACTTCTATAATATCAAGAGAATATATTTTATGGTATTTAACTAGCGGTTCACGGTTTCAAATGAGTTCGTTTCTCAAACCGACCTGAAAACTGAAAATATCCAAAATCCCATTAAACACTATGAATCTTCTGTTGAAATAGCACATCATTTTACTGCTAGCTACAAGATTTTAGACAGATCCGTCTTTGTTTAATAAAATTACGATACCAATTTATCAATATATGGTTATGATAGTGATTAAAATTCAATATTTATTATAAATTTTGAAATATTAAAAATAGAAAAACAAATGACTGGATAAGCCTCAACAAAATTGTAAGGAAATCATATGAATTAAGATAAACTGCTCACGAACCAAGGGTGCAATTAATCAAAATGGCTTATAAGCCACTTTTATGTCTTATAAGCCGCTTTGACATGTTTGACAAATAGCTTATTTTCAGCTTGATAATCCGAAGGACTAAATTATTAACCTATTAAATAAGTTTTATTTTAGCCCTTATGATCAGTTTTAGTGTTTGGGAATAACAATGATTTTGACTATTTTCTTTATAATTAAAAGGGTTAACTCTTATTTCATCTAAATAGGAGTATTAGTAAACCCCTTATTTTGAGGGGTTAACTCATTTTAACCCCTCTAGAGGGGTTAACTTAACCCTTCTATATTTTTTATGTTTGGCAAATTATGGAGGGTTAACTCACTTTAACCCTTATATAGATTTGTTATGTTTGGCAGGTTAAGAAGGGGTTAAGTCTCCTTAACCCCTCACTTAATCCTTTGTCAAACGGTACCTTACTTATTTTTTGGCAGTTTATAAACCACAATGGTTGACCAAATAGAAAACTAATATACCCTCATCATTTTAAAAAATTCCAAATTCCACTTATCTCTTTCCAATCTCATTAAATGCTTTTTAGTCTGACAACAATGATTGCTTATAAATCACACATTTACCACACTCTACTGAAAATGGATTATAATCCACTAAATTTACCAAAAACTTTGGCTTATAATTCACTTGGCTTATAATCCATTTTCGGATTATAAACCAATTGGATTATAATCAAAAGTTGCTAGCATGCTCTAGATAACCACAGCCAAGGTAAAATTATACTTTTCGAGTACAAACAGCCACAAAAAAACAGGGGGAAATACATCAAAATTATCAAATTAGGTTATGATCCTTTATCATTATTCAATGACTTCCAAGAAAACAAAAACAAAATAAAATTTTGATGTATGTGATGCCACCCTAACATCCAAGGACACAAAGTCTTGCCATGCCAAACCCATGGTACAATAATCTGTAGCTTCTCAGCAACAAAAATGAATTCCCTAGTACAAGACCAAATCATGCAACATATAATGCCTCAAACTTATTACAACGCCAATATCTCTTCAGAATGGAAATCTTCATGTGCTCATCCGGTGAGTGCAGCATTAAGTGCACTGTGAACATCAACTCCAATTTGAGCTTCAGCCTTCTCAAGATCAGTTGTCGCCGAGCTAAGCTTCTGAGTGAAATCAGCAAGTCCTTTTTGAACAAGGCTTGGATCGATGCGGTCAACAGGAACAGCCTCAACTGCGACTATATCGGCAAACGAGTTTGCATGGATGAAGGCAAAGCCGCTGCTGACGAAGTATTTGGTGGTTTCAGAGCCTTCGTGGACTGAAAGAACTCCTGGCTTGAGCTCGGCTATGGTAGCGACGTGGCCTGGGAGAACTCCCATTTGGCCAGTTGTTGCTGGGATTATCACCATATCGACCTTCAAATACATAAAAATCGATTGGGACATCAATGTATTGAAGGAAAAAATGATACGGAGCAGATTAACTACAACTAAACATTTGCCATTAATGCCACTATCTTAAGCCACTATATTAACAGAAAGATGATCCCCCCGCCACCGCCACCCCCACCCCCCAAAAAGGCAAATATGCATGAGTACTAAATTTCTCTTCAGATGGATAACAAACAGTAGACCTTTCACAAAGATGTGAAGTTCAAAAGGAGAACTTCACCCAATGCAGCAAATAGCAGCAAGAAAAAGAAAATTGATCATCTTTTGCAAAGGCAATCCTACATGTGAACCTGTGAAAACATATTTTTTTTCTGGTATATCACTCGTATTATCACACGTAAGGTTTGGTGGACAATGTCTTGTTAAATAGATCAAGAAAAAGTTTGGAGATATAAATTTTGTAACTATCATTCATCTTCTAGACATATGGTGACGATGTAATGACAAACTCTTATGAAAAAAAAAAACAAGCAATTCACAACACGATGGGTAGCTTAACCAGTACATTCATGACATAGAAAGTGATCAGGGGAAGCACCAAAAATGAAAGATCTGGTAGGTAACTTATCAAGCAGTTAAGTATAAAATGATTTTCACATTGCCTGGGCACAACTTCCCTTGCGGATGTATGATTAACATAGTAACTCCAAACTTAATTTTGGAAAAAGCATGCAACTTTATAAGGAAGTCATATTCACAGATCATATGGGGTGGTGATGCTAATAGGTTGCAAGTCCCAGATCATATGGGGTGGTGATGCTAATAGGTTGCAAGACAGATCCAGCATCTACACGCAGCTATTTGCATACTTAGTAACCCACAAGCCCAAATCACAGTTGGTGTTGAGTTTGCCATTCTAACATCTTGTTACTGACAACTTACATTGTAAAAATCATAGGTGGAAAACAGGAAATGGGTTTTTCTACTTGAGATTCATACCTATCAACTTAATGGATTAATCCTACAAGAGAAGAAAGTTGATAGTAGCATCTGACCTCTTTGCAAGTTTCAAGAGAGCGCATGAAAAAGTTTTACTGTAGTTAAGCAAGGGATTACTAGCAAAGGTATGCACGGATCCCACAAACCAAAAAAGCTTTGGAACTGTAAATGTAGTATCAGAGGCTTGTTGGAATTATAATCCAAGCTATTTACAATCTCTGATGAACTACAAGTTGATGACGGGGTTTTTTTACTTGAGTTTGCCATTCTAACATCTTTTTGTGTCTGGGCTCTACCCTTGGGGTTTTTTTCGTTTTTCTTTTTCTTTTCTTTTTTTTTTCTTTTTTTTTGGGGGGGGTGGCTGGGGGGAGGGGTCGGGGGTGCGCAGTTGGTTTGCATCAATTCCATGAACTAACAAAGCTTTGGAATGGTAAATGCAGTATCAGAGGCTTGTTGGAATTCTAATCCAAGCTATTTACAACCTATGTTGAACTATAAGTTGATGATGGATCTAAAATCCTTTTTGTATGTCTATGCTCTAGCCTCAGTTTTTTTTAATGGTTGCGCCCGTTTAGTTGGGGGGGAGGGGGTGTTCCTTTTATGATACAATAAATGACATATTGCTTCATCTACACCTCTTGTCATACTTAAATGGACGGCTATCATCATTGCTTTAACTGTTAATAAGATTGATTACAACACAAACACTAACAAGAACAGGAAAACATAATCTCTATTAAGTTCTGTACAACCACAACAGCTGAACTTTGATCCAAAATGGTATACACGTAACATAAGTCAACTTTAATAGATAAAACTTTAAGATATATTTCTGTATTAAGTGAATTTTCATTAGATCTATTACTTACGAGTTGAGACAGAAAATTAAAAAAAAATTGCTGCAAAGCTATAAAATTTGGACATTGGGAAGGTTGCCATGTCGGATACCTCTAGACAACTAAAGAATCCACAGTTCGACGATCAAGTCGGGTACCCAAATGACAACCACCTAATCAATTAGGAACATAGTCCTATGAAAAAATTAACCAAACAAGTATTAGCATACTACCCAACCCAACTAACCATAGGACCTTAAACCTAATAGTGACACTGTTTGTATTTCTTAATTCTAGTAAGTATTTTCTTCCAAAATATCAGGCTTACTGATCTTCAGTCCAAAGTGCAGGTTTTATCAAAGGCCAACTTCTATGTTTGAAAATCCAAGAAATATAAATGTGAAACTCATGAGTGTAATGTGTAAATAGAAAGCACACCGACACATATCAACATCCGAATCACCCCCTACGCTCTTTTTTATTAAAAAAATGCTACAATGTGCTAGCATTAGGCTTGGTAATGCTTCAATAATTCTTTGCATGCTTTGACTAAATTAAATCAAAGTCTCTTCTGCCATCCCACGTGCACAAAGAGAGCTATTCATGATAAAATTCCTATAATCTCAAATGTACCAAACCAGTCATGCGCTTGGGAGTCTAAAAAATGGTTATTTCTTTATCCATGGATATCAAGCTCCCAATCCTTGACAAACCAAACTTGGGCATTGAATTGCGATGAAATTGGCAGTAACACTACTTTGTGAGAACTGAAAAGCTTCCAAAAGGTTACTCTTAAAGGGTTTTTTTCAACTCAAAATGGAATAAGAAAAATGGGCTGAATGAGCACTTGAACACAAACCCCATTCTAGTGCTCTAACATCTATGTATAGATGTTAGATCGATTGTACCTAGCATGTGTATTATGGCCTACATATGTCATACTTTTCCGAGACACGGATTCGGATTTTGTATGAATCAGAACTGAACCCGACCCATTTGCATCAAAAACAGTACTTCATTGTTTTGTGTACTGCTTTTTGGAAACATTGTAACATGAGATGATGGAGAAGAATATATAGAGGTAAAATCAATGTCTAGATTCTTTAGACTTTACATGATTAGCAAACCTATCTAGTAGACAGAATCCCCAATATGAGAAAGAGAGATAAAATATAGGGTTAATTACAGTAATCCCCTATGAACTTTTGGGGAGTTGCAGTAAAGCCCCATCAACTTTTTTTATTAGACTAAACAGCCCCCTAAACTCTAGGAGTTATTGCGCATAACTCTCATGAACTATTTTATTTCACTAAATCCTACCTGAAAACTTATCTTTTGATCCCCATATTAACACCATCAACTCTAACGTGTCACTGGTCAGCACAGGACAAAAAAGAAGACTAAAATTTCTTTCTTAGTCCCAAAAAATACCCTTTTATCAAAAAGGAAGAATAGGTAATGTTTTGGGACTAATGAATTATTTTCATCTTTTTTTTTTTTTTGTTCTTACACATGTTTGCCAATGAGATATTAGAATTGATGGTGCCAATTTAGAGAATAAATGAGAATTTTTCATGTGAAATAAGACAGTTCATGGGGTTATGTGCAACAACTCCTAAAGATCGGGGTTCAGTGTAATAAAAAAAGTTGATTGAGCTTACTGCAACTCCCCAAAAGTGCATGGGGATTTTCTGTAATTAAGCCTAATATATAGCAAAACTAACCAAGCCAACTGCATCAGAAACATTTACACTGAAGATCTAAAGAACAAAAACCTCCTTAGTTTCATGCGTTTAAATTAGACTAAAGAACAAAAGTACATTGTGTCCAATCCAACCCAATTACTTGGTTGCAAAGAAAAATTACTCCTTTAAGTGACTTACTTAACTATAAAGATGGCATCAAAAGTCTGTAAATCCTTGCAAATATTGAGTTCCACTCTAAAAAGGTACAATGACACAATGTCCCCTAATTATACAGGGAAAAATGAAGCAAAAAATTAGTATATAATGCAAATCAACAGAAAGTTCTAAAAAATGGACATAAAAATGAAATGATTAGGATGCACCAAACATTTCACCAGCGAAACTCTACCTAGTTAAGAAGCCCCAACTCCTAATTCAACTGGACGATTTTTAATGAAATAAACGATCCCTAAAACACCCAGAACTCACTCATAAAAATCCCCATCTTATAATTCAATTTATCCATAATCCAACGCGCAGTCATCAAATATCTATCAACAAATTTCAATCCAACCAATCAAACAAAAACCCTAACTACAAAATCCAAGCAAAAGCAAACCTCTTTACTGGAGATCTCAGATCGGTAGGGCAAAACAAAGTTGACCGTGAGCTTCGAAGGGATCGAAGCAGGCGTCGGGGGCCGGGCCTTCATGAAGTCGAGCGGCGATTTAGGGGGGTCGATCTGGGGAGCGGCCTTCTTCCATGACTCGATGAACGCGAGCTCCTCGCCGCGCCCCCGCCACGTCGCGGGTCGCGAGGCACGAGGGCGGGAACGCGCGGACGCCGCCGAGCTCCTCGCCGCGCCGCGCGCGCCACGTCGGGTCCGAGACGAGGGCGGGAACTGGCCGCGGACGCCGCCGCGGATCGGAGGAGTTGGCGGGCGGCGCTGCGGTACATTTTTTCATCAGTGTCTGCGATCTTCTCGCGCTCTCTTTTTGGAATTTGGGGGCGATCAAAGAGGACGAGGGTTTCGTTTTTTAATGGTTCGCTGATGAGCGCAGAGATGGGGAGTAGCACGTGAGGAGGAGCATGGTTTGGGTTTAATTCACCTTAGCCCTTCTGTTAAGAGATCAATTGCAAAAATATCCACAATCTTTGCAAATCACGGGATAATAATTTTTTGATTGCATTTGTGTCTGTTTGCGAGTCACTGGTACACGTATGAACACATGTATGTTTCGATAAGCAAAAAAAAAAAAATTAAAAAAAAAAAAAAAAAAAAAAAAAAAAAAAAAAAAAAAACTCATATCTGTTAAAATCTAAAATAGAATATGAAATGAATCACATCATAAAAGAAGAGGCTAATACTTTGGGCTTCTTTAGGTAGTTAATGTACATGTAATGTAAAACGACTGCACTTATTTGCATAACAAATATATATGTGATAAATACCGGCACATATGTTCATGAAATAATTGCAGATCATAAGGAATAACTCACGCATACTGACGAATCATATCCATCGTAAGCTCAAAATAAATGACATGCGTAGAGATAATTTTCGCGTTAATTAGAAGCAAATGAAGGGCAGCCCACTGATTAATGATATTCGGGGGTCTAAAGGCTTGAAACACTGGATTTAAACAAGTTAGCAGACAAAAGCCCAAAGATCAAAAAGACAAGTCGATAGCCTAAAATTCAAGCCCAAAACCCTAACGGGTGTTTGTTTCAAATCCTATAATTTTAGGATATGAATTTCACAATAGGATTTAAAATCCATTGGTGTTTTGGTATGGGTTGAGATTTCTAAAATGTTGTTTATTTTATTAATACTTTGGGATTTAGAATACTACAATTTGTAATATTTTATTTGTTTCAAGCTCAAATTGTAGTATTACTAAATGCCAAAATTTTATAATATGATGAATATGCTATCTTGGTGAGGTTACCTCCTACAAAAAGATAAATTTGGGATTTGTCAAATCATCTCCAATTGAGAGGTAAGCACACTCATTTATTGGATTTGTCAAAATCCTCTCCAATTGAGAGAATTTGACAAATTCTAAAAATTAGGTACTTTTTGCACTTTTGGGATTTAATATTCTAAAAAATTTCTTAAAACAAACACCACCATATATGGAATCCTAAAATATAAAAAAAAAACTCACATTTTGATCCTAAAACTTGTAATCCATGCCAAATACCAAAATTTTTGGTGAAACAAACACCCCCTAAACATCGTAGGGGGGGAATTTTTGAAAGCTCAGTTGATATATCAGAGCCTGGTTTTGATCCTAAGAACTGTGGGTTATGGGCCCACCACGCTTCCGCTGCGCCACTCTGATTTGTTGATCAATTAATGATGAAATCGTATTAAATTTAGAGTAAATCATGATATCCACACTTGCTACATAGTTGGTTTTCATCCATAAAAGACTACGAGTGTAATAGGGCCATCTGTTGACAAAAGGATCGCCCTAAGATGATCGATTACCCAATACCTCCTAAGGAAAAACCGAATTGGATCCAAAATTGATCGGTTAGTGTGAGCTTATCCAAGCGGTTATGCACTCTCGTGGTTGTTTGGTGTTTCGAGACTTGGTAAGATATTTCTTTTCGCTCCCTTAGGTTTAAAAAAAACATGCATTACTTCATTAAAAAAAATCTCTCGCTTAATATTGTCCGTCAAAAAACTAAAAAAACAAAAATAAATAGAAAAAAGTCGTTAACCGTTACGAGATGACTTGACTCATGATCTCAAGTAGTAGTTAACCTATATTAACAGCAAACTATGAATATTATCTCACCGTTGGGATAATAACTAGGCAATTATCTCTTAACTGGAAATGTCTGAGTTAACTTCTATAGCTTAGAGAAAATGAATACATAAAAAAAGAGTAAATATATAAGATATCATGACTTGTATATCTACTCCAAAATACTCCATCTCCCTCAATGGCTCCCTTCATGGTTATTTCACCTATTTGTTCCTCATAGGGATGAAATATCTTTCCAGAAGCCTTGAACTTCTGAAACAGGCCAGAAGCTTCAAATTTTATCCAAAATGTGGAAGGCTTAATATCACTCATTTAATCTTCGCTGATGATCTCTTGTTATTTTGCAAAGGGGATCTTAGTTCAATGCAGAAACTCTACCAATGTGTTACTAGTTTTAGTGAAGTGTCTGGGCTTGAAGCAAATCCAAACAAATGTGTCATTTTTTATGGAGGGGTGATTGAGCCTGTCAAGGACAATATCAAGGAGTTTCTGGGTTTTACTGAGGGGAGTATGCCTATCAGATACTTGGGGGTCCCCTTAGTTTGCAAAAGGCTCACTTACCAGGATTGCAACCCCCTCTTTCATAGAATCACCACACAATTTCAGAATTGCTTGAAGCAAAAGAACCTGTCATATGCTGACCGAATATAGATAATTAAGAGTGTCAACCTTGGCATCCGAAATTTTTGGACTTCCAGCTATATATTGCCAGTTAAAGTGTTTCAAAAGATAGATGAACTTTGCACGAAATTCCTCTGGGGAAAAAATGATCAAATCTTCAAGACTCCCTTGTTATCATGGGAAAAACATGCATGGGGAAAATATATGGTGGCCTGGGGATTTTCTCTTCAATCTTATAGAATTATGTAGCTGCATTGAAGACAATTTGGGATATTCATTCAAACAAGGAATGCCTATGGATCAAATGGATCCATGGCACATATCTAAAACACATGAACATATGGCAAGTAGAAACAAAAGTGGTAGACTCTTGGATGTGGAAGCAATTATTGAAAATCAGAAACAAAGTTTTGAATCATTGTGGAATTAATCAAGCTCTCGAGCCTGTATCATGCCTTATCCTCTGCAACTGTCAAAGTACCATGGTGCACCACTATCTGGGGAGGATTAAACTACCCTAAGCATTCCGTCATTGCTTGGCTTGCTGATCAAGACAGACTTTTAACACAAGATAAACTGATCAGAGAGGAGTTATCCAAGCAAGCAGACAAATGTGTTTTATGCTCAGAATCAGATGCTAAAAGTAGAAATTACCTTTTCTTTGAATGCAATTACTCGAAAGAAATCTGGAACAGAATTATGGATTGGCTACACTTTAAATAGAAAAGTTGTGATTGGAACCAGTTAATAAATTGGTACAGTTCCAGTTTGAGGGGGAAAGGATTCAAGAAAAGAATAAAAAGAATGTCATTTTCCTCCTCAATATACAACATTTGGTTGGAAAGGAATGAGAGGATCTTCACTCTGAAATCCAGAATAATAGAGCAACTAGTTAAAATCATTAAGGTGGATTTGATGACAATCATTCTCAACAGTGATTTACCTGCAGAGATTAAGGAATGGATAATTTCTTTATAAATTTTAGCGGTTCCTTCAGGCTCTGTTCTTCAGGTTTTAGTTAGTTAGGGGTTTTTTTCTCTCTTTTGTTGTGTTTCTTTTTTTTTCTTTCCTTTCAGTAGCTTGTAGCATACTCGGTATAAGAGTTCTTGATGTACATAACTCTTCCATACGGTAAAATGAATAAAAATTTTCATTTACCAAAAAAAAGTACAGTCAAGTCACAGCAATCATTTGATTAAGGTACCTTATGCATTTTTTTCCCCAAAGACAGTAGTATACACCCAAGAAAGAATAAAAGGAAAAGGCTGCATGAGACCAAGGTGCTTGAATTTATATCATCATCATGGCCTTGTACATTGAAAGGAAAGCATGAGCTCCATGTAATTTCTCAATATCTACTTCTTTATTACTAAAGGAAAACAGCAAAAAGTTATAATGAACAGTAACATAAGGTTCTAAACAATGAAAAAAATAAAATGAGAACCCATGTTTCAACGCATCCCTGTACTCTCACGTTCTCCTAAGCCCATTTCCCAAACTTCCCATGTTCCATCCTTCCTTTGATCTCAACCCCCCCTCCTTCCGCTCTCGCGATCTCTCTCCCTCCCCACTTTCGCTCTCAACTGGCGGTGGCGACGACGACAATGATGAGATCTCTCTCCGCCGCCGTCTCCAACGGCGACGACCTCTCCCCCTTCATCTGCCGCTTCTTCACCCAGTTCAAGCCCGAGGCTCTCCTCCACAACCTTCGCCTCTTCACCCGATCCAAGGAGTCCGAGATCGAGTTCGTATGCAAAGCTCACTGCCAGGACTTTATTCCCGCCTTCGACGACCTCCGCTCCCTCCTCTTCGAGGCCGAAACCCTAAAAAACTAGATCTCTGACTCCAACTACACTATCTAGTTCGCCGACGGCCCACTCTTGGCGGCGCTCGACTCCTACCTCGAAGCGTCGGCGGTCTCGATGAACCTAAGGCAGATCGCGATCGGACCTCGGCAAGCAGGAATCTAGGGCAGACGTGAATTTCTCTAATTGGTTATAATTTCTAAACCTAGGGTTTCAACCTGGCCTCTTTAGAACTATGTTTTTGACATTTAGTATGGAATTGTGGTTTCTGGATCATCTTTCAGTCTGAATTGATTCCAGTGTTAATTGTTATGTTTAATTTTGTAGTTTTTTGAAGGATTTGGTTACCATTGGGACTTCCTTTGAGCAGACTTATCGATGTTACCCGACATCCTTTATTAAAAAGGTTTAAAATTGTGATCTCTATGTAGTTTGATGTCAAGGCGCTCTGCCATCTGAAGTCTAATAGAGTTTCAAAGGGAGTTGCCAAGATGAAGAAAGTGCCAAACAAGAACCAAACTTTGTGGAAGGTAATGAAGGTTTCACTATTTTCTAGACATTTTCGTATTTATATAGTTCATGCTTCTTTTTG